CTCAATCACTCTTATTCTCATTCTTACTCCTACTCTCACTCTTACTCCTACTCTCACTCTTACTCCTACTCCCAATCACTCTTACTCCCAATCACTCTTACTCCTACTCCCAATCACTCTTACTCCCAATCACTCTTACTCCCAATCACTCTTACTCTCAATCATTCTTACTCTCAATCACTCTTACTCTCAATCAAACTTACTCTCACTAACTCTCAATCACTCTTACTCTCATTATCACCCTTACTCTCAATCACTCTTACTCACTCTGTCACTCTTACTCTCACTCACTCTCAGTCACTCTTACTTTTACTCACTCTCACTCACTCTTACTCACACTTACACACTCTCACTCACACTTACACACGCTCTGGCACTCTCACTCACCTTCAGTCACTCTTACTCTTACTCTCACTCTTATTCACTCTTACCCACTCTCGCTCACTCTTACTCACTCTAGTTAATAAGAACACGCCAGTATAAGACAACAAAACGTTTTCAGATTCTTTCACACCACTTTCCAGCAACTTTTATAATTTATATAAATTATCTTAGGGAATAATACATAAATTATATATTTAAACATGATATTAGTGTTTAGTGGAATGCATAAGGAGTCAAATTGTGTTAAAAAGAGCGATTTTTAGAAAATTTGGAAAACTACTTTTTTCTGATCATATTATAACAAAATGGATTTTGAACGTTTCACTGAGCCAATAAATATCATTCACAATTTATTAATGAATTTTACAAAAAAAACACCATAAATTTTATATATAAACATGTAAAAACTATTTGTAATACATTAGGAAGAAAATAGTTGCAGAAAAACATTTTATTATAAAACCTTTGTGTTTGGATTTTTTGATTAAAAGTTTCTCAAAGGCTCTCCTGCACCATTCTCAATGCCAATCATTCCCACGCCTATGGGAAGAGATAGACAAACGTTTTCTAGATGATTTGTGTTTGCTGGGCTGGCGTTGAGCGAGGTGTGAAGTTTCCAACACGAATTCTCGTTGACGACATTCCATAGTCAAAGTTGCTTGTTGTTTGTCATATTCGTGTTGCATCTCCAATTGCCGTTGTTTTGTTTCAAGCTGTACTCGTTCCCGCTCACGGAGTAGTGCAACCTCATGTTCTTGTTCTTCTTTCCTCAAGGCAGTTTCACGTTTCTTGAGGGCGATTTCACGTTCCTTGAGGGCGATTTCACGTTCTTGTTTTTCCCTTCGTATGGCAGCTGCTCGTTCTTGTTGCTCGAGGGCTTCCCTTTGCTGCTCGCATTCAATCTTGGCCAGCTCTACTTTGAGTTTCATCGTTGCCAAATCAGTTTTATCTGCAATAAAGTAAGTTTCGTGAGTTTCAGAGTCTATCTTACCTTGCTCTAAGAAATGATCCAGTAACAGGTTATGTATTTCACTTTTGTTGGCTTGGTAGGGAACTGTTAGTTGATACTCATGTGCAAGAGTTTGTAATTCAGCCCTCTTGGCATGACTTAAAGTCCCTATTGCACCTGCTGGATCTGCACGGAAAGCTTGGAGACGAAACATGGTGAAATTAGCAAATAAATGCACAACGAATATACTGTTGTGATATGGTGAATGTCAGAAACAGGACAACGTGGCAACTGGTACCTATCCTGTGGAATCTTTAACAATTAATGTTAATTACAAGATAAATGATTAATTAAATCAAGGTCGCAGGAAATCTTGTACCCGGTACTCATGTAAGAGGATAAGGGCAAGAAAATCCTACTAAACAAGCGAAACTGAGTTTCTAAAACAAATGAAACAGTTAATTGTCTCAAAAGTAAAATTGGTAGTCCAAGAATGTAGGCATACCTTGCCGAGTCTATAGGACATAAGCAAGTTTTCCCACTGAAATTAATATGATACTTACAGAATTAGCGAACTTTTGTGCTCTGAAAAAGAAAGCTAATTCCCTACCAATGTAGGTATCATCATCTCTGACCGACGTGTAGGGGTGCGAGGTGTCAACTGGTGACGAGAACTGCTGCTGAGGTCCCAATTCAGCAACTAAAGTTCGTGCTAGAGGAACTATGGCCCTCTTTATCCTCCTACTGTCAGATTGCAGAAGATTAGGTGCACTTGACCCGGGGGCAGACCACAGTACCAGGGTACCAATATGATGATCTGTCGAAAATATGAGAAATATCCTAGGGACAAAAGATGGTAAACACGAGTAATAACACGGAGGGAGAGATGACCAATTAAGAGAATGACTGAGGCCTACAGTCACCACGTAATCCAAAGATGTCTCACCTTCACCATATGCTACTCTCGGAATGCACAATACACACAGCACCATATAAAAATAAAATTGAATATGAAAAATAGTAAAAAGCTACGTTACCAAAGCCAAATACGCTTACCATAAATTTACTACTTGGCACCAGTACCTGAGTGAAGCTCCCGGACAGGCCCTCACTTTAATGTGACGGTAAAGCGTTAATGTTCGGCTGTTTCAAAAGCTAGGGGCAGGGCCTCGTCACATTATAGAAAAAAAAAGAAAAAGCTGGAACTTTCGTCTGTGGTAAGGTAATGGGAAGACACACAAAACACAAGTAAATTAACTATGAAATTTTAATTACTTTAGAAAAACAAGACATGAATAAAGTTAAGCACATAAAATATAAAAGACAAGTCAACAAACAAAATAATATGAATAATCACTGGCAAATGTAAAGTTACGTTAAGACAAGTGAGTTACAGTGATAGCAAAATAAATATGAATGGAGCTGGAATATTGGCTTCGAGCTGCCACCTCCCTTAGTACACGAAAGCCAAGGCTTAGTCTACCAGCGAGAGATGTCAACTGCAAGGAGCACTGAGATATTCTGACAATACTGAAGCACTGCAGCCCAGACATCAACTTGTGGCGGAGGGCAGGTGCGACGGGACACCAGCCAATCAGCGACAGGCAGGCAAAGGACAAGCAGTTTGCTGTTTACGGTGGCGGTAGCTAGCAGGTGTCACTGTCTGCTGGGTACGATTTGCTCTCTGAGCAAAACGTTTGGCGATACTTGCTGAACGTATCTTCTATATTATCTTTTATTTTTACGTACTTTGTAGGGAAGAGCAGGCTCAATCTCTCTTGAAAGAGATTATCGTCACAATATATATATATATATATATATATATATATATATATATATATATATATATATATATATATATATATATATATATATATATATATATTTTTTTTTTTAAACCTAGAAGGGGTACCACCTCTGGTGCAAGTGTAGGGACCCATAGCCTCGGAGAAGAAAATATAGAGTACTCAGAGAAGACCTTGTGGATCCTCACTGAACACTTTGATATTTTCTTCTCCTACCTCCTACTTCTCCTTCTTCTCCTCCTATATATATATATATATATATATATATATATATATATATATATATATATATATATATATATATATATATATATATATATATATATATATATATATATATATATATATATATATGTATATATATATATATATATATATATATATATATATATATATATATATATATATATATATATATATATATATATATGTCGTACCCAGTAGCCAGAACGCACTTCTCGGCCTACTATGCATGGCCCAATTTGCCTAATAAGCCAAGTTTTCTTGAATTTATATTTTTAATTTTTTTTTTCTTATAAAATCCTAAAGCTATCCATTTAATTATGTATGCATTAATTTGTTTGAATTTGAGTTAAAACTAACGTACATATATGTCCGAACCTAACCAACCCTACTAACCCAACCTAACCTATCTTAACCTAACCTAAACTAACACAACAAAGTCAATCATTTATTTTCTTGTTATAATATAGTAATAATAATTCTAATAAACTAAACCATATTTTGAAAATTTAAAAAATCACTCGGTCTATTAGGCAAATCGGGCCTTCTTTTTGAGGTTATCTTGAGATGGTTTCGGGGCTTTTTTTTTTTTTAGTGTCCCCGCGGCCCGGTCCTCGACCAGGCCTCCACCCCCAGGAAGCAGCCCGTGACAGCTGACTAACACCCTGGTACCTATTTTACTTCTAGGTAACAGTGGCATAGGGTGAAAGAAACTCTGCCCATTGTTTCTCGCCAGCGCCTGGGATCGAACCCAGGACCACAGGATCACAAGTGCAGCTTGCTGTCCGCTCGGCCGACCGGCTCCCTAACTAACTACTAAGCCTAACTAAGACCCTCTTATGGACTTGACATGACATGGACTTTAAACCCGCCATATACTGCAGGTATGTTGACGACATTTTTATGCAGATACCTGATGCCAGACGTCTGCAGCAGCTGAAGGAGGCATTCGAGTAGAATTCTGTGTTGAGTTTCACATACGAGATGTAGAATGATGGGAAGCTGCCCTTTCTAGATGTAACAGTCATATAACAGTTATAGTCTGAACATACATAATCTCCTCACATCAACAACAAATCATACAAGGTGTTTGAATATATTTTAACACAAGTATCTAACTTCATCAAGTAATTTAAGTATTTTACTACAGCACTGCTACTTGAATGTTTCACTACACGAGCAATAATTTTAATGAATACTACAACAGGCTAAAACCATAAACCAAGAGTATGGAATTTATTTAATACTGCACAGTTAAGATCTATTTAAATTACTGGGTTATAACATTCACCCATGACAAACACTGACCTTATTGCTCAAGATAAAGCACATTCCATATGTGCTTTGCTTATATTGTGTCAAAGTTTGGTGGCCTGTATATAACTCCTATTATCTTATTATTATTTTTATTAATATTATTATTATTACTATTATTATTATTATTATTATTATTATTATTATTATTATTATTATTATTATTATTATTATTATTATTATTATTATTATTATTATTATTATTTAATTCTAACCAAATAGGTTGGTCTTCAAGATACATGGATCAATTACACTATAATCCTAAGAATAAAATTAAAGTTGTAATCTAGTCATATAATTTACAGACAAGTTGAGCAAGATGGAGGACGCCGAACTGAAGAAGAACTTCATTGAGAACTACTGCGTGAAAGTGAAAGACGAGGAAGGACTCATAACCTACGAGATCAACACTGAAGTTATTCACAAGGATGAAGATGGCAAGATACAGGTCATGTCCATTGGACCTGTGAATGAGGGCCCCATCAAGTCGGTTCTCCTGCTGGGAGAGACAGGCGCCGGCAAGACCAGAGTCCTCAACACCATGATCAACCATCTGTTAGGTGTCAACTTTGACGATAATTTTAGGTTTCAGTTAAAAGATTATGTTGAAAGTGATGATCTCCTCCAAGTGGAAAGCCAGACAGAATATATCACTGCTTACATTGTCTCCCATCAACTTGGAATGCCTATTGAGTGTAATTATATTTTGATTGACACACCTGGGTTTGGTGACACCAGAATGAACCACGATAAAGTCCCAATAGAGCGACTAACCATTTTCCTGACAAATGATTGTGGGATAGATGACCTTAATTGTGTTGCCTTAGTTGCTAAGGCAAACCAAAACAGGGTAACATCATACCAGATACAAATGCTAGAAGACTTTACTTCAGTGCTGGGAAGTAATATTGGTGATATAACGCAGCTTCTGGCAACATTTGCAACTGATGACACTTCGGCAGTTGTTGATGTGGTGAAACATGCTGGAGTCCAGTTTGTCAACTTGTACCAATTTGACAACGGGCTTCTATATGATCCACTTTGTGATGGTCTTCTCCAGAATCACAGACATGCATACCTTACATATAGATGAAACAGGATGCAAGCAGAGTATACAAGATTTTTTGAAGAGCTACAAACGTCTATTCCAGTAAATCTCAAAAGAACTGGGGACCTTTTGCTGGAGAAAAAATTACTCGAAGAAACAAAAACTGAATTGATAAAAACGGTAGCAAGTATGGTCCATATAACTAACTCAAATAATAATAAGCATAGGGAAATAGAGAAAATTAAAGCTCAGGCTGAAAGAATCAAAGTAACTAAAAAGATAATGGTAAAATTTAAATCTTCAGTAACCATTGGATATCACTTCCTCAACTGTGACATTTGCAGACAAACTTGTAAGAAGTGTGAAGACCCAAAAAATTTTCTTGCTGGATTTGCAGGAACTGGTACTGGGGTTGGCACGGCAGTTTTTACGGGAATTGGTACTTCAGTAACTTCTGGAGCAGTAATGGGGGCAGAAGTGGGTATCTTTGGTGGTCCAATAGGAGTTGCAATTGGTGTAGGCATTGGAACTGTCCTTGGTTTAACTGCTGGTCTCACCGCAGGACTTTTAATGAGAAAAACAAAGGCAGATTGTCTCAATAATATGAATGGACCATGCAGCAGTCGTGAATGCTCTCATGATATGACGGACCATAAAACTGAGACACAAAAATATGTCACGGAAGAAAGAGAAATAATTGATGAAATTGAGAAAGCCAAGTACGATGCATTTATGAACACCATAACGCAGTTAAAGACAAAGGTTAGAGAGAATAATATTGCAATGGCTGATCTACGTAAAGATATGCAAGATATTGCTAAAGCTTTGTTGCAACACACTAATAAAATAGTTGAACTGAGCCTGGGACATAAAAGCTTAAATACAAACTCTGTAATAGATGAAATAATCTTGAATGAAAGAGAGAACTGGCAACACGTTGAACTCTTACAGGAGTTCAGGAAGACAGTAATGCTAATACAAGCTCAAGAGCTCAGTGATGCAGGGGTTGATGTCAGTATTATTGGACAAGACATTGATAGTGATAGCTCTGTCGTTGGTATTGATGCTATTGATATGTAAAATACAGTCTCAGTTATTTCTCTTTCATAGATAGGGGGAAGGAGGGGGGGGGGAGGTATTAAACTTTGCATCATTGCTTCTCGAGGTGTTAAGTTGTTTCAAGAATTACCACATTTTGTTTTTTACATTATCGACTAAGTAATATTTGTATTATATTGTTGAGGAAAACCTTTCTTTGCTGCTAATATTTGGAATGAATGCTATTTGATATAATTCTTTTTCGTGACGAATTGGAGAATATCATCAAATATAATCCAGAAAGCGTGTAGCACAAACCATACAGTCCATCCACAATAGTTAACACCCAACACATAATTAATGAAAGCCCAGTTCCCTTGAGTCGTGGATTATGATTGACTCTTCAAACAGATTGCTGTTTGAAGATCAAACAGCAATTATGTTTGTGTCGTTATCATAATGTTTTAATAATATCACTAATTATATATATACTATTTATTTAATTATGTAACTGCAACCTAGTACTGCAGTTACATACCAATACGATTTTTTAATCTGAATATCTTAATTTGTATTTGCCATTGAGCTCAATAATACAATAATACAGATTATTATTGAGCAATAATACGGATTATTATTGAGCAGTAATACGGATTATTATTGAGCAATAATACGGATTATTATTGAGCAATAATACGGATTATTATTGAGCAATAATACGGATTATTATTGAGCAATAATACGGATTATTATTGAGCAATAATACAGATGGACAATGCAGTAGTGGTGGATGGTCTCATGATATGATGTGCCATAAGACTGAAACAAAAATATGTCATGGTTGAAAGAGAAATAGTTGATGAAATTGAGAAAGCCAAGTATGATGACTTTATACTCGACTTTATACTTTATACCCTGTTTTATTGGCTAATAAAAAAGTGCAAATGGCATGTGAATCTTTTTTTTTTTTTTTTTTTTTTTTTTTTTTTTTTTTTTTTTTTTGAGATATATACAAGAGTTGTTACATTCTTGTACAGCCACTAGTACGCGTAGCGTTTCGGGCAAGTCCTTAATCCTATGGTCTCTTTACTGGGTATACAGAGGGGAAGTGAGCATAAGAGGCAGTCCATTAGAACTAGTCAGTTATATGATTTAAAATTAAAAAAAAAAAACAATTGCTTTAAAATATGTTATACGCTTATAATAGATGATAGATAATAATAAATAGACCATTTATAATAATAAATAGACCATTTATTATTTGACAAACTTCCATTTTGTTTCTTAAATTTCTTTTTAAACCAAACGTGGTAACTACTTAAGTGTAGTTACAAGATGAGAGCTACGTTTGTGGTGTCCCGTCTTCCCAGTACTCTTTGTCATATAACGCTTTGAAACTAATGACGTTTTTGGCCTCCACCACCACCTTCTCTCTTAACTTGTTCCAACAGTTTACCATTCTGTTTGTGAAGGTGAATTTTCTTATATTTCTTATACAGCTTTGTTTAGTTAGGTTAAAGCTATGACATCTTCCGTTCTGGAAGTTCCAGGTTTCAGAAATTTTTCCTTATCAATTTCGTTGATGCCTGTTACTATTTTGGACGCAGTGATCATATCGCCTCTTTTTCTTCTGTCGTTTAGTTTGACATATTGAACGTTGTTGTTGTTGTTGTTGTTGTTATAGATTCAGCTACTCGGAAGAAGTTCCAAGTAGCACGGGCTATGGTGAGCCGGTAACTTACCTGGCACAGGAGCGGGGCAAGTAGCACAGGCTATGGTGTGGAGTTCCACCTGCGCTGCCATTGAGTGAGGAAGTGTCGTTTGACCGCTCCGGCAGTTTGTGGTAGTTACCGTTTTCGCCAGCAGGGGGTGTGGGGGTGTCTACCCTCCCTGCTGTTCCTGGTGGTGGGGACGTGGCGTGTTTTGCAATGGGCGGCCCTATTCCGGCTGCCGTGCGGCTAAACTCCATAGGATTGGAGTTTACTTGCCATGCTGGTTACCCGTTGGTGGACTTAGTCTTGAGTGACATGCTTCACGTCTCGGTACAGGATGTGTATGGTGTAGAGCTGCTTACTGCTCGCCGTGTCGTCATTAAGTTTGTGGGAGAGGCGGTGTACCGTGTGTTTCTCCGGAAGTACGAGGGACGTACTTTGCAGCTGCAGGACGGTGCAGGGTCTGTGACTATTTCGGACCGTAGTGGAGCTGTAACTTATGTCAGTGTACATGGCGCCCCCATGGAGTTTCCTGAGGTTCTCCTGCAGAGATTCTTCCAGAGGTACGGCTCCGCCGTCAGTGTGCGAATGAACTCACTATCGTCTGGCACATATTCTGGGGTGAAGACCAACATTCGGACCCTCGGGATGCGGCTGAGGTCAGACATTCCGTCCTCTATCCGGCTGTTGGGGTATTACGTGCGGGTGTTCTATGCCCGGCAACCCCGCACTTGCTTCCGGTGTGGCTTGTTGGGACATCAGGCTGCCGGGTGTACTGCTGATCCGGTTGCTCCTGTGAACGTGTTCCGTGAGGAGGATTTCCCGCCGCTCCCTCTGGAGGAGGACTCCGGGGGTGAGGAGGTGCGCGTCCCGTTCGCTGCTGAAGATCCCCCAGCGTCGCCCGACGTTCCCCCAGTTGTCGCAGACCCTCCTCTGGGTGTTGCGGAGCCGTCGGATGTTCCTCCTGACCATGTTTCTGGCTCTGCCGTTCCCGTGGACCTTCCTGGTGATCCCTGTGGAGCGTCGCCATCTGCTTCCTCGTCTTCGGCTGTGGAACCTGGCCTTGCGTCCTCCCCTCGGGTCCCTCCTGTGCTGGGTGCTGGGGTGGCTGCGGAGCCTCCAACTGTGTGTGGTCCGGTTCCCCCTGTGGTAGAGGCTGCTGCCGTTCTGCGTCGGGCGTCGGTTCGTCCGGCTGGTGGTGCCCATGTTTCTGGGTCTGCTTCCGGCTCTGACGATCTTCGGCCGGAGCCCAAACGTTCTAGGCGTTCGTCGTCCGCCTGAGCTGATGTTGGGGATTTTAGTGACTGTGGATCCTCGGATGTGGACGGTGTGGGTTCGAATGCGCAGTTGGCTCCACAGTTTGGAGGTGGAGGTCCATGTGCCTGCTGGTGACGGTGGTTGTGTCGCACGTGCGCCTTCTGCTCCTCCACCGGAGGGCTCTTCGTGGTGGGGGGTGGTGGCTTCCGGTGCCAGGGATGGTGGGGATGCTGGTGCTGGGCGTAGCCTGGTGGTGACTTTGCGGGAGGATCCACGGCGATCGGATTCCCGGATGTCGTCCGACGAAGTGCCCGTAAATGCTGATGCCCCTGTGGTGGTGCCCTCTGTGCGGGTCTGTGCTCGGAGGCTGTGCATTGGGCACCTGGGGGACGTGTTGCCGGAGTCTGCGTTGCCGCAGAGTCACTGGAGGAGGATTGCTGCGTTACCATTATACGAGGAGCCGCAGAATTTTAGTGATGTGCCTGTCTGTGCGTGGGAGCGTGTGGCAATCACTCGCCTCCGGTGGAATACCATTTGTATCCCCTGTTTGCGGATATTTGTTGCCGGGGTTCCGGATGTGATGGCGTCCCCAGTAGATGGTCTCGACCCTTGGCGGTGGTTGCTCTGGGAGGCGTTTCATGTCCGGTTCCCTAGGAGTTTATTTCCGGACAAGTATGTCTCCTGATTTCCTGACTTCTGTGTTTACTCTTGTCCTGTGTGCCCTTATGGCTGCTTGTTTGTCCTTGTGTTGTTTGTGCCCATGCCTCCCCCTTTTTTTTTGGGGGGGGGGCCGTAGCAGGTAGCTTGGTGTGGGTTTTTCTTCGTGTATTCATTTATTGTGTTATTTCTTTGCCCTATGTGTTATATTCATGCTTAAAGTGTTGTGTTTGTTTGTTATATATTGTGTTTGTGTATTTACATGTTGTATATAATGTTGGGCGTTGTTGTCGGTCCTTCCGGCCGGTGTGATTGTCTTGTTTTTGTTTTTTCTTGCTAAATGCTATATATTGTTACTATGTGTTATTGTTTTCCTTGCCGTGCTTGCATGTTTGTACATTGAAAAATAACCACCTTCCTCGTCGCTTCCAGCTTGCCCTTGCCTCCCTGAAATCTAACAACTCTATTCTTATCCTTCCTTCAGACAAAAGCAATTCGGTGGTTGTCCTTGACCGTGAGGACTACCTCCGAAAAGCAGATGTCTTGCTCTCTGACTCTCACACTTATGCTCCTCTAGCTTCTAACCCTTTGGATCGCCTCAAAACTTCCTTTAACCGCAAACTAAGACAGCTCTCTAGTCTTTGCCCTCCTGACTTTGATCTCATTAAACGTTTCCGTGTCATCTGCCCTTCTCTTCCTTATTTCTATGGTCTTCCTAAGACTCATAAACCTGGTGTTCCTCTTCGTCCTATCATTTCTTCACGGGGCTCTGTCAGCTATCCTCTTGCCTCCTGGCTCGCTAAAACCCTGACACCTTACCTTGGCACTTTTTCCCCTGCCCACCTTCGTCACTCTCAGGACTTCATAGAAAGACTGCGCCTGCAACCCTCTTGTAAAATGCTTAGTCTTGATGTCGACTCTCTGTTCACTAATGTTCCGCTCGATGACGTTCTCTCTTTCCTCAGACAGAAGGCGTCAGAGGGTCTCCTTCCTCTCCCACTTCCCACTGACGTTTTCCTCGATCTCATTAGACTCTGTGTTGAATCTAACTCTTTCTCTTTCAACGGTAAATATTACACTCAAACTTTCGGTGTCGCTATGGGTTCCCCTCTCTCCCCTGTTCTTGCTAATTTCTACATGGAATACTTCGAAACTGTTCTTCTTCCTTCTATTGATACTCGTCCCTCTCTCTGGCTTCGCTATGTTGATGACATCTTTGCTTTATGGCCTCATGACCTTAATCTTTTCCAGCCTTTCCTCGCCTCTCTTAACAATCTGGCTTCTTCTATCCATTTCAAATTTGAGTGGGAATCTAATTCCCTCCTTCCTTTTCTTGATGTTCATGTTCACAGCTCTGTGTCTGGGTTCTCTTTCTCTGTCTACCGTAAACCCATGCATAGTGGCATGTACATTCACTTCTTTTCCTACCATCCTCTTTCTGTTAAGAAAAGTGTTAAGAAAAAATCATCCCATTGATTGGTCTTCCTCCAAAATAATCTTTCCTGCCTCTACTCTACACAGACGCCGTCTTGTAGAATCGGCTCTTATTAACAATGTACCCAACATGAACTTGAGTCCTGGCTTTGTTGCTGTGGACTCTTCCCTTTCACAGTATATACTCAAATGCTCTAATCTTTCTAACAAACGTGACTTAACATAAGCTTTCCCCCTTCCATTTCTTTCTTTCTCTTTCTCTTTCTTTCTCTCTTCTCCCTTTTTCTGTTCATTGTCTTCTACGCTCCCTTGCTATCCTCTTCTTATTCCTATTACTATCTCCTTTGGTGGTTATAATAGGAGCTGCCTCGTATGAGCCAATAGGCCTGCTGCAGTTCTCATTACTACTTTCCCCTACACCTGACTTTCCTCCTCAGCTCTCTCTTGCCTATTTAATGCCTGTCCCTACCTGTCCTCATCACAATCGACTTGAGAATGGTCCAGGACGGACCGAAACGTCGTCGTCCCTTCAATTTCTAGTGTGTGGTCTGGTCAACATACTTCAGCCACGTTATTGTGACTCATCGCCTGCATGTTTGTACATTCTTTACTGTTTTATCGTGATGTGTGTATCTCTTGCCTCCTTTGTTACCTTCTCCGGTTTTGTTAATTGTTGTGCTGGGCTGTCGGTCCTTCTGGCCGGCAGTTTTTTGTTTGTTGCGTCCTGTTTCATTTATTGTTTTATTGTATTTATTGTTTTTCCTTTGCATGCTTGCATGTAAATATAAAAAAAAAATAACTTACCTGGCACAGGAGCGGGGCAAGGAGGACAGGCTATGGTGAGCCCGTAGTGGACTTACCTGGCACAGAAGCGGTGCTGTCGAGGATATTTATCGCTTCTAACCTATTCTCGTAGCACTTGTTTTTCAGCATTACACGCTTCTCCTCACTTACCAATCCGACCAACGTCTCTGCAGGTTATAGTTTTGTCGTACTGAGTAACCCAGTACCCTGGGGAAGAATTATTAATTGTAATTAGTGCAGATAGGATTAGTGTAGAATTTATTAGAATGTTGAATTTTTGGGGATAAGTTATGTGGTATTCTTATACATCTAATTCCTTGTCATGAAAATAAGATTTTGGAGCAATTATATTTCTATTAATATAATTGCTACATCATTTTGTTGCATGTCTTTGCACCTTTTCCAGCTTGTTAATATGTGCTTCTTAAGATATGGGCACCACACAGCTGCAGCAGTGTATTCCAACTTTGTTCTCACAAATATCGTGAACAATTTCTTTAGTATATCACCATCCGTGTATTGAAAATCAATTTTGAAATTGGAAAGTGTAGCATAGGCTCCACGCTCGATGTTCTTTATGTGGTCCTTGGGTAACATTCTTATATTTAGAAACAACCCTATATTTCTTTCTTTTTCATAATTTTTTAAAGCTTTTTCATATAATTCGAAGGTTGTTTGTGATCTGTTTTCTCTTACTCCACATTCCATAACACAGTATATATTCACATTAAATTCCATTTGCCAAGTCGTTCTCCATACACTTATTTTATCCAGGTCTTCTTAAAGGGTATGGCAATCATCTATGTTTCTAATTTTCACTAGTATCTTAGCATCATCAGCAAACATGTTCAAATAATTTCATATTCCTTCTCGCAAGTCGCTTATGTAGACAATGAACATTACCGGTGTAAGAACTGAACCCTGTGGTACTCCGGTACCCCACTCATGATATTTTACAAGTTCAATACATTGCCTTTGATTACTGCCCTCATTTTACTATCGGTTAGAAAAAATTCATCCATGTCAGAAGTCTCTGTCACTCCTCCAGTATGTTCCAGTTTCCGGAATAACCTCTTATGTGAGATTCTATCGAAAGCTTTTTTTTAGGTGCAAATAAATGCAGTCAACTCCACCGTCTCTTTCATGTAAAATCTTTGTGGCTCTATCATAGAAACTACGTAAATTTGTTACACAGGTTCTTCCAGATCGAAAGCCATACTTTCTGTTATTATATAACTAGCTGTACCCGCCATGCATTGCTGTGGCTCAGTCTGGTTAAATGGAAAAGAAAGGAAAGAGAAAGCGCACGTTTCTAATATGTTTAATTTTACAATGCTTGTGGGTATACAATATGTTTTGTTGTTCCATCGTCTGTGGAGATATAGAGATTGTCTAGTTGGTTCACTCTAGAACACACAACATATAACTGTCCATGTGAGAAGCAATCCATGTCTAGATATACACCGCATAATTCTAAAGATTGGCACTGAGCTCTGTTGATGATGACTGCAAACGCCAATCGAATTGGAAATTACAATCTCTTAAATTGAAATGGCATATTCGTTGGAATCATAGGAATAGAAGGAATGAGGACATCTTCACCTTTGAAAGGTCCTGTCAAGATTGTTGCTGCTGCGAGGTTGCTGATTAAGTTTTTTACCTCAAGCCTCGGGCCGTTGCTAAGGCTTTGGCTTGTTGATATTTCGCAACATGATAACTGGCACGCCTATTTTTAGTTGCAGTATGCGCGGTGGTATTCCTGACAGATCGAGTCAATTCAAAAATTTTGTTGGATAATTAACCGCTTCATCTTTTTCCTCAACAGTGTCGACGGGCTTGTATGTGACTGCCTCGCTTTGAATGTTAGACTGAATAATATTTTTAAGTTCGTAGACGTCTTTGATGCCGCAAGAATAGCTCGTTCACTCAGCCAATCGTGATTCTTATAATTGGTTTGAATAATGGGGAATACTTTCCCCAACAAATTCCTTTTTTAACGTCACTAAATTGCAGAAGTTATGAGGCAATGAAACCCGTCCTGAGGTCAGATCAACTGGCAAGTTTCCGTTCCCAATTTCCACAAATTGATGTGAGAATATCTCAGCTGATGAATCGTTTTGCAGCTGGACACACATATTTCTAGTTAATTTTAACGCCTTTACGTGGCGCCACAAAGTAGAGTATTTCGGGCAAACATTTATTTTGTCCGCTGGTGTCGATCGAGGAATTACAGGTTATGTTTGCCTGAAATCTCCTGCAAGAAATATTAATGCGTTCCCAAATGGTCTAATGTTTCCGCGCAAATCTTGCAATGATCGATCAAGAGCCTCGAGCGATTTTTTGTGGGCCATTGGGCATTCATCCCAAACAATAAGTTTGCATTTTTGCAATACTTTTCCCATGCCAAATGCTTTGCAAATGTTGCACGTGGGAGTTTCAATGAATTGCATGTTCAATGGCAATTTCAAAGCCAAATGAGCAGTTCTTCCACCTGGTAGCAATGTCGCAGCTAGTCCGGACGATGCAAGAGCTAACGCTATGTCATATTGGAATCGAACTGCTGCTAGAATCAATCTAATTAGAAAGGTTTTACCAGTTCCTCCTGTCGCATCTAAGAAGATGATTTATCCAAGCCAAGATTTATCTATTGACAGTTTGAATTATTTGATTGTAAATGCCTTTTCGCGCAAAGTGTTAGATTAGGAATATTTGATTGCGCATACGACAACAGATCACCCGTGTTGTAATTTTGTTCACGACGCAATTCTACATCGAACGAAGCAGCAGCAGATCGATATGGTGATGGCATTTCCAATTGATTGAGAACTTTGTTCACGATTTCTAAGCACAAATCTTTAATCATTATCAACGTTTCGTTGTAAATTTTTGTTGTGAAATCTATGGTCATATTTGAATTTTTCTTGCGTGTTCGACGGATAATATCTTCAGCCATGTGTGATTTATATTTCTCCTAAAACTCTGCTGGAGATGAAGGGGAGTGGGCGGTCAATATGATTGCAAACAATGCATTGTGAGAGTTTTGAAGTTGGAATACAATGAAATTGGTATAAGGAATTGAGCTCGGAAAATTTCTAAGAATTTTCTTTATTCTTTAAACTTTATTCCTGTCGTGATATTCAACTAGGTCGCCTGAGGAAGGACTTGCTTAGCTAACATACCAGTGTAGTAAGCAGCTCATTCCTCACTTTGGGACCATGTATGAACAATTGACTAGGCGCGAGCAAACGCCGAGACCCCAATGAAAATTGAAATCCCCCCCAC